TATTTTTTTTTCCAATTTTAAAGTTTTAATGAAAATGGTACTTGTGCAGTAGAAATCTTATAAACACTTATAAAACAAATTGTGAGCAGTTTTTGAGGAAACCTATTGGTATTTCTAGAAAATTTTAACAGGGAAGGCTTTGCACATCTTGAGGGCAACTCAAACTCTCCAAATGCAGCACTTTGGTCCTCTGGATGGACAGCCTCGCATTAGTATAGCGCTTTCTAATTTCAGGAGTAGCGCAAACTTTATGGGAACGTCATACCTGGGCAGTTGCTTAGTTCATGTTGCCAGGTACTTATGATATCCCTTTTTCTTCCTTGTACATTAATCAAAAATAAAACACTGGTGCTAGAGTGAATTATTATTTGCATATTCTCACCACTACTTTTAAAACTTATTCAGTCCTTGTGCTGACATGCATGAGACTTGCGATTAAATTTATAGATGAGGAAGCCACTTTCATCTAATATTAAGGAGCAATCCTACACTACTAAATGATAATGCTTCCTATTCACAGCTTCTACTTATCCTATATACTTTTTTGTACTCTAAAAATATTATTATAGCAGAGGGAAATTACTGGATTAAGAGGCATTCATATACATAAGTTGTCTCTAATATTACTGTAAAATAATTCTTTAATATAAAGTGCAAACAGAAATAATTGATCCATTATGCAAGTTCGATTGAATGTCTCTTCTTCTCTTTCAGATACATTAGTCTTGCAGTATTATCTTCAGCTGAACTCCTATAATTTGTTCACACTATTAGTAGTATTCAATCAATTGTATTGGCTTTGTAAAGAAAGGCAACTACCCTAGTGCTATTCATTTTGATTGTCTCCATTGAGGAAGGTAACATGACAATAAGAGGTAACCCATGAATTTTAAGTATTCAACTTTTTTTGGATAATCAATAAAGAAAGCTTTCAAAAATTTGAGGAAAATTTTATTAAATTATCTTTAGGTTGAAAACTAGTGTCTCAGATATTTTTGAACAACTCTTTAACATTTTAATTTCTCTTAGGAATTCAAGATCCACAATCAACAAAGAGTTGAGTTGAATGGTGATTTTACTTATTTTTCTTTCTCATAAACATACCGTTTTAAAAAAACAGAGGCAAAGTTAAAAAATGAGCATAACCCATGGCCCATGCTCACAATCTCATATAAGATGCTGATCTAGTTATCACAGTACCCAAAATGGAAAAAAAAATTCAATTAGGTGAAAGGTAAGTTCTTTGAAATGGTATTAAAATATTTGTAAAATTTCTTCTCATAGGTATATCATCACAACACATTGAGCATGCAATGAACCATGCATAAAAACACATTACTTCTATAAATTAAAATAAACTTAATTTTTTTTAAAGCATATTTCAACTACTTTTAAAAGAGTAGCATTTTTCTGTATTTGAAATTCCTACAAATGTCTTCTTCAAGGTAGTACAGTAATATCCAAAAAAGCCCTTCTTTCCAAAAAATTGGCAGAGCTCTGGAAATTCTTTTAATATCTCAATTAGATCTCTGATATCAATAATCTTAGTTTCTCCTGAGACAGAAATCATGTCAAAAAGAAATCCTTATAATTTTTGCCCCTTTTTTTTAAAATTTCAAATTCCTCCAAAATTAAGAGTTTAAACTAAACATTTATTAATTTAACACTCAGGTATCCTTTTTTTCTTCCTGGTCAAAGTAAAAAATATATCTTTCATTATTACAAGTTCCAAATTATAAGATTTCACATGAAAATGAAAACAAATTATGTTATTATAATAAATTATGTGATTACTAGTTTGGTAAGAAAATATTAAAAATAAAAAGGGTACAGTAATGACACAAAATTAAGGAATAAAACAAGTATAAGTAAAAATATATGTGGTACATACAAATATATAAATAGAAGGGAGAGAAATTAACAAACATTTTGTATGTATTTTTGTTTTATCTTCACAGTTTTCTTAATGATTTGATCATAATAAGTACAATCTTAACTTGTTTTGGCAAGTTCTCTCCCATTTATTTATATATTTTGAACTTATTAGACATATTCTTACTTATACTTGTTTTATTCTGTAATTCTATATCATTACTGTACAATTTTAATTTTATTACTTTCATACTCAACTATAATATCAAAATTTGTTTTTGTTTTGAGTGTTTTGATTAAATGAATTTTTATAAATTTTGCTCACCCTTAATGATGTATTAAACTATTATGTGAAACAAGTTTCAGCATATATGCTAAATAAAACTTTGTTTGAAAATGTTGTACTTTGATTGTTCAGAGAGAAAAAAAGGATAGACAGTATTAATTTATTAATATCATGTGACAGTCATTCTATTTTATATATTTTTGACTGTTCAAAATATTTATTATTACCAAAAGAGTAGAGTATTAAATTCTGCTTCAATCGAGAGTCAACACTTTGCAATATGACTAAATAAAAGATTGAATAGTTATTTCTAAAGCAGATTTCTTTCTTTTTTTGCATTATTTGGAAGTTATTTTATTATTTCTTTACTAGGTATTATTTCAATTTAATTTGCGAGCATTTTCTTGTAAAGTAGGTGTTATTTAAAGTTAATTTACACTATTCAAATATACACTGAATTTTTGCTACATTTTGAATGGAATTAAAAAAAACTGTTTTGTACTGTTATTTATGGATTTCAGTTTCTTATTTCCACGTTTTTTGTTATAAATAATTATGATTTTGTGAAGGGTAGGGTCCTTATTTTTTGACAGATAATTTCTTGTAACCTTAATTTATTCCATATTCATGCAACATTTCGAGGATTGTTGTCCCCATCATCATGCTGTAAAATTGAATTTTTAAATTTTAATAATATAACTTCAAAATTATTTACAATACAATATTAAAATTGAGAAATTATGATAGGAAAGAACTTACCAGACACATAAGCGTTCACAAAACAAATGTTTTTAACATTGACATTCTACAGCTAATGGCC